CCTTTTTCGGTATAAGTGTAGTTACTCTAGAGTCATAGAGTTACTCCCGCCGTTTACCCGCGCTTTTCTGAATTTCTCCACGTTGACATTCTGAACACTGGACAGAAATCACATTGCGTCATCACCCGTGAGGGTCATCGTAATGCTTTGTTTTAATTAGACAGTCGGATTCCCCTAGTCCGTGCCAGTTCTGAGCTAAGCGTTGAATGGCGGCCGAAGAAGTGACCGCGACACCGTAACCGCCACGGAAGCCTGGAAGATATGTACGGACTAACCTCAAGGAAGATCCGCGGGAGGCCAAGGCACGGGACCGAGCTTGGATCCCGAAACGCGACCGAAGTCGCCAACCGTTCACCTCGCCCAGGCCCGGCAAGTCAGCCAGACCCGCTTCCCGATCAAGCCCGACACGCCCCGCTCCTCAGACCCAATCCTTATTCCGAAGTTACGGAACCAATTTGCCGACTTCCCTTACCTACATTAATCTATCGACTAGAGGCTCTTCATCTTGGAGACCTGCTGCGGATATGGGTACGAACCGGCGCAACACCTCCACGTGGCCCTCTCCTGGATTTTCAAGGTCCGAGGGGAAGATCCAGACACCGCCGCAACTGCGGTGCTCTTCGCGTTCCAAACCCTATCTCCCTGCTAGAGGTTTCCAGGGAACTCGAACGCTTATACAGAAAAGAAAACTCTTCCCAGATCTCCCGACGGCGTCTCCAGGTCATTTTGGGTTACCCCGACGAACACTCTTACGAGGGCCCGAATGGTATGCGGTTCCGCTGCCGGGTTCCGGAATAGGAACCGGATTCCCTTTCGCCCAATGGGTGTGCATCTCTGCAACTACTTCTTATAAATTCGATTTAGCCATATTTAACAGTTTTGTTGTTGCTTTTTAACTGAGAGCTTTAGGACACCTCATTTACATAGGATTTCTCTTAGGGCTTAGGATCGACTGACTCGTGTGCAACGGCTGTTCACACGAAACCCTTCTCCACGTCAGTCCTCCAGGGCCTCGCTGGAGTATTTGCTACTACCACCAAGATCTGCACCGACGGCGGCTCCAGGCAGGCTCACGCCCAGACCCTTCTGCGCACACCGCCGCGACCCTCCTACTCGTCAGGGCTTCATGGAGGACCAAATTTTGTCCAGCCCCACTTGGCACTGACGGCGGAGCATAGGCGCGACCCTTCAGCGCCATCCATTTTCAGGGCTAGTTACTTCGGCAGGTGAGTTATTACACACTCCTTAGCGGATTCCGATTTCCATGGCCACCGTCCTGCTATTTTAAGCAACCAACGCCTTTCATGGTATCCCATAAGCGTCGAGTTAGGGGCCTTAACTCTGCGTTTGGTTCATCCCACAGCGCTAATTCTGCTTACCAATGTTGGCCCACTTGGCACTCTGATTCAATAATAAAATCTCATGGCTTCATTTGATGCAAGCAAACCAGAGATCTTGTAACGGGGCGGTCGGTTCGGTGCACACGGCGTTACACACCGCGGTCGGTTTCTAGGACAAACGCACGTGTGGCTGATGATCCAAAGTCATGGTGCTGCATGGCGCGTGCAGAAAGATAAGAGTTTGAAATAAAGGATCTCGCCACGGAGTGGGGAGGGTCCGGGGACCCTCTGGCAAGAGGACTGTGTCAAAAGACACGGCAATTACCCGAGAACCTCTGATCGATCGTGATCTTCTAACAGGTAGATGTTGCATTCTTTCTACCAGTGAAGATCTATTTCTCTCGGATGCAATTGTTACAGGTGTTAATGAGTAGATATTTAATACATTACTGTTGCCATCTTTCGCATACAAATTACGACGCAAGGTGGCGTGTAAAACATCAATAGTAGTAAATTTCATACAGCATGAGGTGCTCCGTAACGGTGCTTTATATCCTTTTAGACCTCTTGCATGGGAATCAAACAACCAATAACAGGTGGTCTCCGACTGGTTGCTGCATGATACGGCTATTGATGTAAGATTCGCAGTAAGAATTCCGTACATATACCGTTGAAAAAATGTAATCAAACCATTTTTTAAATTTGGAAATCAACGTTAATACTGACTCGCCTATTATTAAATGTTACATGTGGCAATAATTCAGTTGCGGCTAAATAGTCTACATTGATTTCGTTGGGGTTAGAAATACTTCGCGCTTCAATGCAATCACGATAATATTTATCTCCTACTATAACCACATAATCGACATCACTAGTACACCACGTACTAGGATCAAGGGAATGAAACGCAACACATGCAACTGCAGCTATGCCAGTACACTGCTTACCACGAGATTCGATACTGAAGCGATGGCTAGCTTGATGAAACGTGCCCTGTAAAATAGCTACATTCTGACCAACGTCTACAAATCTACTGTTTGGTTCAGTATTTCTTTGTGCAATTTCAATTTCCTTTGTTACAATAGCCGGCTGTTCAATGACATGAGCTATTTCGAAAATATTACTGGTAATGTTTAAAAAACATAGTTGTACGTCATTGTACAAAGCATTATTTTGTAATAGCCATTGTAAGGCTACCCGAAGCTTTCCGACATCTATTTTAAATTGTCGCTGTCGCTCCAAATTTTCGTAACTTTCCACTACAATCATTATACCGGTTTGGTTTAATTGGACTGGAAGTTGCTCGCCTACTTCGAACACATCGCAGGCAAATAGGACTACCTGACCTTTGCACCAATCCTGATTGAAGCGATTTTGAATTTTCATGATTTTAAGGAACGGCACTATTCTACACAACATTTGTTTCTCGATTTCCGATAAATCTGCTATCTCCTGAGGTACAGACATTAGTTCCATTTTATTCTAAAATGCCTGTGATGGAACTTTGTGCTTTTTAAAATGATTTAGACAACGAGAACATGTTGTTATCTTCTCTGATTCCATTAGATTTGCAGGAATTAGACCAGACAAAGGCTGCGTGTGTAAAGCGTAACGTTGCTGCGGATATAAAGTCTTGCAACACACTGCACACGGTACATCAGCAAAAATATTAATAGCCGATTCAAAGTAATCTTCTTGGAGGAAACGTTCTTTCCTTTGGTTTTTAGCTAGTTCGCGCATATCTCTTAACCCTCGCAGTACGGGAACGGGGTCTCCGGAGACACGTCTCGGTGTGAGTCACGAGAGACCCCGTTACCGGACCGTACTCCGAGGGTTAAATGTGTGGTTTTTGATTCGGTACTTTCCCTTAAAAATACTTTACGATTACGATTTTTCATGAGCATTAGACGATGTGAACGTTCTTCAATACATTGATTGGACAAACGTCTGTGGATTAACCTCAGTCTACCTGATCGTTCCTGAGCAGATTCGTTCACTAAGCGTCTGTGGATTAATCTCAATCTACGTGACCGTTCCTCAGCAGATTCGTTTGCTAGGCGCCTACTGATTAATCTAAGCCAGTTAATTCTTCGACAGATTCGTTCTTTAAACGATTATAAATTATTGTTAGGCGACGTTTCTTCTCCTCTATCGCTTCACGCAATAATTTTGAACGCATATATTTTCGCATCGCAGATAATCTCAAATGGCGTTCGTTAATAGTTTCATGACATCGTGATTCTGTTTTTCTTTTGCAATTTTTGTACAGACGTAATTGCGTGGCGTCGTTTGATTCATTCGCACGATACTTCCTCATACGGGATGCATGTTTTGTAGGTCTACCCATCGCTTAAGCAAACGTGGTTGGTTTGTTTTTTATTTATTTTAGAAACAATTGGTCGCTCCAAGCAGATGTGGCCGGTTTGTCTTTTTTTACAAACAATTATTCGTCGCTCCAAGCAGACGTGGTTTGTTTTTTATTTATTAGAAAGAATTATTCGTCGCTTCAAGCAGACGTGGTTTGTTTGTTTTTTATTACAAACAATTATTGGTCGCTCCAAGCAGACGCGGTTGGTTTGTTTTTACAAACAATTATTCGTCGCTCCAAGCAGACGTGGTCGGTTTATTTTTTATTACAAACAATTGCCAGTCGCTCCAAGCAGACGTGGCCGGTTTTGGATTTTTACAAACAATTATTTGTCGCTCCAAGCAGACGTGGTCAGTTTTGGATTTTAGAAACAATTGCCAGTCGCTCCAAGCAGACGTGGCCGGTTTTGGATTTTAGAAAATTCAATAATATTAGTTAAAAACGACTACCTTCGAGCAATTTTCAAATGATTCAATCAAGTAGCAATCAATTGAAGATGTAACGTTGCCAGTTATTCGTTTCAACTGAGTACGCGATCTGTCTATGAGCTCTCGCTATGTTTATGTTGTGAGGACGATCGCAATAATAGGCCAACTTACACACGGATAATAAATTCGCACGGAGATCGGGAACGTGCAAAACATCATTTAATTTGAAATGTTTTTTCTTTCCTTCCTGACATGCCATTAACGGAACTGTTCCTTTCGCGTAAACGCTTGTCGACATATTATTCGCGAGATTCAGTTCTTTACATTCCGATCTTTCTACATCCACAAAATCGTTTTCGTTTTTGCATAAGTGCGAGGTGCAGCCGCTATCGAGGCACCACTCATCGCTATTCGCACTTGTATTCGACGCTTTTTCAATAATGGCTGACGCGTACAAGCTCGTCACGTTGTCGTTCCGCGTACACTGTCGCGCGTTACCGATCTTTTTATCGCAATCCGAAGCTTTATGTCCTACTCGTCTACACCGATGACATCTGTACTTAAACGTTTCCTTTTCAGATTTACTGTCTTCATTCCGGTTTGAGAATTTTGGCTTTCCGCGAAGTTTACCTGCAACCATCGCGTTAGGTACGCTGTCGACCGTTTGATTTTTCCGCGCGTCGTATTCTTCAATGACTTTTACGCGCAATGTTTCCGGATCCGGCAACGCGTCTCGCGATTCTATCGCACACCGAAAATTCTCGAACGTATTTGGTAGGCTATACAGTAACATGATCGCTTGCACATCCGGATTGATGTTCACGTTAATTTCCTGTAACTTATCCACAGCGTCGAAGAACCTACCTAAATGCGTATGGATGTCTTCTTCTTCCTTCATTTTATGAAGTAATAGTCTTTTCAGCAAAGTTGCCTTCTTGGCAGGTCCTCTGGATTGATATATTTCTCCCAGTCTCCTCCACATTTCGTGCGACGTCTCACACGATTTCACTTGCTTTAGTTCTGAAGCACTTATTGATAATATAATGTCCGATTTAGCTTTTTCATCGTTTCTTTTCCAGGCCTTGTACGCTGCCTCCGATGCTTCGTTGTTTTTCTTCCGTTCAGGCATTTCACTTTCACCACTAACATATGTCCACGCGTCGTTTTTTATTAACAATGCTCGCATCTGCATTTTCCACGTGTCATAATTATCACGCGTTAGCGTTTCTATTCGGGCGACACTCGTTGTCATCATTCTCGGTTAGTCTCTTCGTACTGCGCACTTAACCTCGACGAACACGTGTTCAGATTCCGCGTTTCACTTTGTTGCGTATTTTGCGTGGTCAGCGTGGTCAGAAATAACACGCCCGCGTAACGATCACAAATGTTTATTTACAAAGAAGAAAATATAGTATTTACAAAGTCACGCGTGTTCTGAAACTGTACAACTATTTACACTTATGTGCTACTTAACTAATTTTAACACCGAATTAACACGCGTAGACTAAACAGCTGCGAAATGCGCGGGCTGAAAGTTCAGCGCCGCGTGGACTGAAACACCGAACACTTGTACTGATCTGCGAGGACAGCGTGACACGTGTTGACACGTTGAGCGATCGTACAAGAAGAACAAGAATCGATCATGGCGTCGATCGTACCGGTTCCGCGTGGAGAGGGGACCGCGTGGACAAAGTGGGCTCGAGAGGTGCTGCCGCTATCGGTAACGGCGCAGCAACGAAGTATTTTCGTTGCCAACTTTGTCGTTCCGAGTAGACATGGGGAATTTCGCCAACACACTTCGATTGTCGATAGCGATATTCCTCCTGGGCCCATAACTTGATGGCAGGAGTGGGAGCGGCAGTGGAACACGACACGGTTAAAAGTGCAAAAGTATTTATTATATAAAATATATGATGAAATGTGATTACTCGTACAATGATACGTTCCGACGTGTCCGCCATGCGTTCCGGAAGTAGAGCTATTACAATCGAGCGATCTTAGCTACAAATCGGTGGGAAATCCACTAGACGGTTGGCAACCATTACGCGCGCGTCGTTCGCCGGTAACAACAATAAACTTGGTATGAAATCGCACATACATATAATTAGAATTTCTTCTACAACTTGAATTAAAAAAAAAAAATATTTGAGTACTACTACATTTCGAATGTCATTTTTATCACTTTTATCGATGTCTAAACATACATAGTTGATAATATTTTATATATTTCGCAATTAAAATAATCAAAAATTTTAGCCACTAGTGAAAAATAGTTTCCAGATTCGTATTCAATGAATATAATATAAAAATATATAAGAAGTACATAGGGGGCGACGGTCGTGTGAGAACGTGGGCCCAGATAAGTGGAGCGAATAAAGAGTGAGTAAGCTATAAAAGCGAAGATTCAAAGTGCAAAGGTAGCAGGAGGGGTGAGCGAGAACGGGAAGGATAGAGAGAGGGTGTGGGGAAAAGCATTTTTTGCGGGAAGAGGAGGAAAATCGTCGCTAAGTAAGTGCACTGTTGGTGAGGTTAGAATACAGAAGAGACAGAAAAGAGCGACAAGCAGAGAAGAGAGGAGGAAAGGAGCGACATCTGGGGAGAGAGAGAGGCGGTTATAGGAACAGAGGAATGGCCGGTAAAGAAGAGGAAGGATTAGAGAAGAGGACGGGAACACAGAGAATGGAAGATGAGGCGAGGGAGAAGAAAGAAGGGGAGGCGAAGGAGGAAGTCGGGAAACCGGATAAAGGGGGAAAAAGAGGCAGGCCCTCAAATATAGAAGTCCTGAGAAGGGAAAGAACGCTGAGTTTGGGAAGTATGTCAAACTTAGAGGAAATGTGGAAAAGAAAAAGAGAGGAAGGAAACGAAGAAGGACCCCAGAAAGGGAAAGCGGAGGAGGAGAGGAGGCAAACAAGCGGATGGATGTTTAGAGAGAGTAGCCTAACGGGAAGGTCACCAGAGAAGAAAAAAGAAAGAAGAGAAGGTGAAGGAGGAGTGGGGGAAATAAAGGAGCTAATAAAAGATTTAGGAAAAGATCTGGGAGGGAGGATGGGAAGGGTGGAGGAAAATATGAGGGCCCTGGGAAATGAAGTAAGAGAAGAAATGGAGAAGCTAAAAGAAGATACGAAGAGAAGAGAGGCCATGTGGGCGGAACAAAAGAGAGAAATGGAAGGGAAGATAGAAATGTTGATAAAGAAGATTGGGGAATTAGAAAAGAAAGGAAAAGAGGGGACAAGATGGAATGAAATAGAACAGAAAGTGCACAAAACGGTGCAGGAGTCTATAGAGAAAAGAAAAGAAGAGTTAGGAGGTGAGAACGTCAGTGAAAAGATCAGTGAGTTGGAAAAGAAATGGGAGAAGAAAGAGAGAGAGGAGAGGAAGAAAAATATAATAATAAGAGGTACGAAAGTGAAAAGAGAAGAGGCGAAGGAGAAGGCGGAGGAGATACTAAAGATAATCGGAGTGGAGGATGCAATAGAAGAAGCAAAAGCAGTAGGAGGGGGAGAAAGTGAAAAAGGAAAAGACGGTAGCATGGTACTTGTAAAAATAAAGTCGAGCGAGCTAAAAAGGAGAATAATGGAAAACAAAAAGATGCTAAAAGGACGGGATGAAAGGATAGAGGACCTAACCTAACATGGGCGGAGAGGAAGATGCAATGGACATTAAGAAAAATCGGAAGAGAAGAAAGAGAGAAAGGAAAATACGTGTGGGTAGACCACGGGAAAATAAGAATAGAGGGGAAATGGTGGAGATGGGATGAAGAAAAGGGAGCGTTGGTAGACTGGGAGGGGAGGGAGTGGAAGGCCTCACAAGGAGAAGGACAAAGGAAGGGGGAAGAGGAGAAGGGGATATAGGGGCCGAAGAAAGCTTGGAAAGAACACGCAAGCAAAAGAGAGCTTTGATCTTTATATCGAAACCATGGCTCGAGGAAGTTGGGGGGGAAGGAAGGACGATAATTGGTGGTGACTTCAACGCGAGAACAGGAGAGGAAGGAGGAGCTCAAGAAAAAGAAGAGGAGGAGGAGGGGGAAGAGAGAAGAAGATCCAAGGACAAGAAGATCAACGGGGAGGGAAAAAGATTGCTCGAAACCTTAAGGGAGACGAGATGGTCAATTGTGAATGGAAACATAGAAGGGGATGAAGAGGGAGAATTCACCTACACAGAGGTAAGAGGAGGCACGGTGATTGATTATGTGATAGCGGAAGCAGAGGGGAGGGAAAAAATTATAAGCATGGAAGTAGGGGACAATGTGGACTCAGACCACCACCCGGTGATAGTGAAGCTGAGGGCGGGAGGGAAGCAGAGGACGAAAGTGGAAAAGGAAAGGAGAGCAATAGCGAGAGGAAACTGGACGGAGCAGGGGAGGAGAAAGTTCACGGAAGAACTAAATTGGACGAAAAGCAGGGGTGGCAAAGTTGAAGAGGATATGGAAGAAATGATAGAGCAATTTAAAAGAGGGTTAGAAAAATGCAGAGAAAAGGGACAAATGTCCAAGAAAAAAGGATGGTGGGATGAGGAGTGCAAGAAAAGGAAAAAGGAACTCAGGGGAGTATTAAGAGAGTGGAGGAAGGAGCGGGCGGAGGGAGAAAGCTACAGGAAGACAAAGAGGGAGTACAACAATTTATGCAAAGATAAAAAGAGAGAGGAAAACGAGAGGTTCGTAAAAGAAGTGGAGGGAGCCAGAACAGATAGGGAGGTATGGAGAATAGTGAACAGAGAAAGGAAGAAAAGAGAACAGATTCACGCAAGTATAAAGGAGGAAGAGTGGAAAATCCACATTATGAACCTGCTAGGTGGAACGGAAGAAAAAGTGATGATGGGTGGGAAGAGGAAGCCGGAGGAGGAAGAAGAGGGGACGCAAGAAGAAGAAATAAGCAGAGAGGAAATTAGAAGAGTGGTAGCAAAGCTGAAGGATGGGAAAGCAGTGGGTGGAGATGGAATCCCAAATGAGGTATGAAAGTATGGAGGGGAGGAAGTATCGAAATGGACTTGGGAAATCTGCAACAGAGTATGGAGGGGAGAAGGGTGGCCAGAGGGATGGAAGGAGGGTATAATAGCACCAATTAGAAAAAAGGGAAAAGGAAAGCAAACCAGTGACTACAGGGGAGTGACTCTGATGCCAACACTGTACAAGATCTACGCGGCGGTGTTAACGGAGAGAATAAGGAAAGAGGCTGAAGACAAGGGAATGATACCAGACAACCAGACGGGCTTTAGGCAGGGAATGGGAACTATGGACAATATATATGCAATGAATTATGTGGTAAATAGGCAGATAAAGAAAGAAAAGGGGAAGGTGGTGGCGTGCTTTGTCGACCTAAAAGCCGCCTTCGATTCAGTGGACAGAGGAGTGCTGATGGAAGCGCTAAGGGAAAGAGGGGTTAGGAAAGGGCTAAGAGAAAGGGTAAGGGAAGTATTGAGAGAGACTAAAAATAGGGTAAGGACGAGCGAAGGGTTGACAGAACCGTTCTGGACGGCAAGAGGCCTAAGACAAGGATGCCCCTTGAGCCCAATTTTATATAATCTGCTGACGGCAGACCTGGAAGAGGAAATAAGGAAAGGGGGGATAGGAGGGATCAAGATCGGGGAGAAAAAATATGCACCCTGGCCTATGCAGACGACGTGGTGTTAATGGCGGAGAGGGAAGAAGATATGACAGTATTATTAAAGAAGTTAGAAAGGTACCTGGACAAGAAGAGGCTGGAATTGAACAGGGAAAAGTCAAAGGTGATAAGATTTAGAAAGGGGGGAGGAAGATGGAAGAAGAGAGACTGGCTATGGAAGGGAAAGAAGATGGAAGAGGTGGATACGTTAAAGTATCTAGGATATACATTTAAACGAAATGGGGGAAACGAACTACACATAAAAGACAGGGTGAGCAGAGCCGGTGTGATAATGAGACAAGTGTGGGGGATTGGGAAAAGAAGATTTGGAAAAGACTGGAAGAGGAGGGTGTGGCTCTGGGATAAACTAGTGTGGACAGTAATAGCGTACAGCGCAGAAATATGGGGGTGGAGAGAGTGGAGGGAAATAGAAGGATTGCAGGAGAGGTCCCTGAGATGGATATTAGGTGTAGACTGGTGCACTCCTGGTTACATGCTGAGAGAGGAGCTACAAAGAGCGAAACTGAGGGTTAAAGCCGGGAAGCTAGCATGGGGCTTCGAAGCGAGGATGTGGGAGGGGAAGGGTGGGGAGCTGGCAAGAAGATGCTGGGAGGAAATGATAAGGGGGGAGCAAAGAAACACAGTGAAAAACAAGTGGGAGAAGGAAAGAGAAAAATACTTCGCGGAAAGGGGAATAGATCCGGAGCAACTGGAATTAAAAAGGAGAGAAGGAGAAATGAACTTCAAGGAAATAGAAGAGGCAGATTTGCGGATGCAGGAGGAGGAAAACTGATCGAGATACAACATCGAAAACTGATCGAGAAAAAGGGCATCGAGATACAACAAATGGTACAAAGTAATAAAAAGCGGAGGAATACCAAAGTATCTGGAAAAAGGATGGAAGGAAGAAAGATGGAGAAGAATTGCAAGGTTCAGACTGGGAAATGAAGTAAAGGAAGCCAGATACTGGGAAAACGAAGAGAAAAGGATCTGCAGAATCTGTAAGTGGGAGCAAGAATCGTGGGAGCACGTATTGGAAGGATGTGGGTTAAACAAGGAAAGAAAAGAGGGATGGCAAGAAAAAGTAAAAAAGTAAAAGGGAGAAAGTGGGGAAGGCGAAGCCTGGATGAAAGAGGTGGAAAAAGAGAGAGAAGAAAAGAAGGAGGAGACGTCTGCCGGGAAAAGAGGCAGTGATAGTACCGACGAAGAAAGGTAACAAAGAAGATGAAAGCAGTGAGGAGTGGGGCCAACGGCAGAACAAAAGAGGTTGGCTACACTGAGGCAACTAAATTGCATGCAACAGGGAAAGGTGCAGGCAAGCTAGAATCACGTGGTAAAGCAAAGAACCATAAGAAAGCAAAGCGAGCAAGAGGAAAGGTAAAACGAAAAGACAGGAAAGTCAAGATCGAGAAAAAGGAAAATTTACATAAGTAGAAGGAAATGGACGCTCTGGGAGAGCTGGTGAGGGAAGTAAGGAGGCTGAGGGAGGAAATCAAGAAACTAAGAGAAGAAGTATATGGGTGGAGGTTAGAAACACGTGGAGCACGTGGAGAGAAGGGAGAAAAGCAAGACGCAGAAGAAAAGGGCCAGCGAATTCAGAAGAGGAAGGATGAAGAAAAGGAAAATAATGGGACAGAAGATGAAGAGAAAATAGCGCTGGAAAAGATGAGAAGAGAAAGGAGGAGGAGAAATTTAATTTGGAAGGGGATAGAAGGGGGGAACATGGAAGAAAATATAACCTTCATCAAAAAGATAATGGAAAAGGAGCTGGGGAGGAAGGTAAATATAGTAAGATCCACAGAAAGAGAAGGGGATGGTGGGAGAAAAATAGTGATAACAGAGTTGGAGGAGGAGAAAAGGAAAAAAGAGATGGTGTGGATGAAGAACGGGATCTGGGACAGATGGAGGGTGGAAGTCGATGAAGATTTGTCAAAAGAAGAAAGAAGGATGAAGTGGTTAATAAAAGAAAAAGCGAAGGTGGAAAGGATAAAGGGAAGGTGGGTGGTGCACAACAACAGAAGGATATGGGTGGAGGGACAGGAGCTGGTATGGAGCGAGGAGGAAAGAGTCTGGAAGAGGGAAAACCTAAAGAACAGAATCGAGAGAGCCATGAAGGTGGGCCAGGACGAAGGAGCAGAAGCAAGGAGCACAGACAGGAAAGGAGAAGCGCTATAGGGAAGAAGAGGGGCGAAAAAAGAGAAGAAGAAGAGGAGCGCAAAGGAGGTGGAAAGTCAATTAAATGGCAGTAACCAGGACAAGAGCTGGAAATAAGTGATATAGCGAGGATAGGCGCAAAAGTGGTTTTGTTTGTTGGCAGTACAAAGCGCGTCAAAGTTCCTAATAGTTTATAGCATAGTGGACACAGTTATTTATTTGATGGTAGTTTTGATTACCAGTCAGAACTATGGTTTACGGGAGATGAACAGTATAGAGGGTTTAGTGTTAAAGTTCAAGATTTATAAGTTTATTTCTTCTGTTTTGATAGTAGTTGATAAGTTAGGTTAAGGTTACAAAAGGATATAGTTTATTTACAGCTTAGTTGTTTCACCTGATTGGTATTATTATTTGATTTTGATGTTCATTTTATTTCCAATGATATTTTCATTTATATTATGTCTAGGTTATTTTATGTATATTATTTGTATCTTTAGCTTCATTTTTATTTTATTTAATTTTATATATTCCTATTTTTATTTTTATTATTTTTTATTATTTTTATACGTATATTAAAATTGTGAGAAGAGGGAAACGGAGGGAAGGATGAACATTTGGCTGTAAAATAAATTGTTAAAGGTTCGGGTCCGCTCCGATCAAAAGCGCCACGAAACCCGGAAGGGATCGTAATAAACTTCACTCATTCATATAAGAAGTACATATTGAATGTTAGTTATCCTAATACGCTTTAAAAAGTATAGATGTGTTTCGATATATACGGTCTTGTCGCCGTTCGTGTGACTTTCGTTCTATACAACATGAACACTATGTCACTGTAATCGATAATATTCCACCACTAGTCATTAATTAATATTA